TATTGAAGTGCAAATATTTAACATAAATATAAGGCTTCAGCTTCATTCGGGTTCAGACTTATCCATAATTAATTATCAAACATTGAAAAAACTGGGTAAGCCGACTTTGTTAAGAACGAACCGAATAGCTAAAAGTGTAACTGGCGACCCTATTAAGTTTATGGGCGAACTTATAACGAACGTGTCATTCAAAAGTAAAACTTTAAAACTAAAGGCGTATATTATGAAGAATACGGGTAATTTGTTCGGGACTGATTGGTTAGAACAGTTTCAACTTTGGGATATGCCTATTAATTCATTATGTCAAAAAGTCGAAAATTTGACTGACGAAGCAGAAAAGTTGAAAGGTGAACTAAATAAAGAAATTTCCCGATGTTTTCAGTAGAGAACTAGGAAAATGCACAAAAATGTCTGCTAAGTTTGAGTTAAAACCAGACGTAAACCCAGTTTTTAAGAAAAAAACGTAACGTTCCAATTCCCTCGTTAAATCAAATTGACGAGGAGTTGAATCGACTTGAGGAAACGGGAGTTCTGGCAAAGGTTGAATATAGTGAATGGGCATCTCCCACAATTTATATTTAAAAAAAGAGCAAAGAAATTGGTGTATGTGCCAATTTCTCAGATGAGGACCCATTCTCCTCAATTATAACTACAAAATGGAGTTTCTCCCATCCACTAAAATTTGTCATGCAGACGAGTTGTCTAGATTGATACCTAAGTATGCTGAACACCTGGAAGACACAGTCATTGCTGCCATAAGAATAGAGGTCGAAATAAAAAGTACCTATTGCAATACTCTCAGGGAGCTTCCTATCACAATTGACAAGATAATAGACAAAGTATCCGATGATGAGATTATATAGGAAGTAAAGGACAAACTAAATAGTAAAGACCAGAATATCTCAGAAGTTTACTCACTCTGTAACGACATAATAATGTACGGAGACAGAGTAGTAATCCCATCTACACTACAAAAAAAAAAAAGAAGGAATTCCATGCTGGCCATCCGGGAACTTCAAGAATGAAGAGTCTGATGAGGAGTTACGTCTATTGGACCAACATGGACAATGATATTGAAAACACTGTAAGATCGTGCAAAGGGTGTACTTTGTCTGCTAAAGCACCCATGATAAAATTCAATCCCTGGCCTAAAACCGAACGTCCGTGATTGCAGATACACATTGATTTTGATGGCCCACTTGATGTTTTTACTAACTTGTAGTAGTTGACAGTTATTCCAAGTGTCCAGAAATATTGTAATGCAAGAAGCCGACCGTAGAAGTGACAGTAAAGCTTTTGCACGAGCTATTTTCCTGTTTGGGAGTTGTTGACTGTATCATAACAGACAATGCCACACAGTTCACGTCCGGTGAATTTACGGATTTTTGTCAGTCATTCTTGATCGAACATATTACCACGGCGCCATATCCTCCAAGAAGCAATGAACAAGCAAAGCATTTTGTGGACACTTTCAAGAGAACACTAAGGAAGGCGAGATGTACTTCCGCCGATACGGCAATACAGCAGTTTTTACAGGTCTATCGTGTAACCCCTAATGGCAGTGCTTCATCTGCCAAGACACCAGCAGAGGCCATATTTGTCAGGAAAATAAAATCCCGACTTGACAAATTCCTTCCGAGTGAAACGAAAGCGGATAATAGGAATAAAGTGCTTAAAAAGGGCTTTAAGATCGGTGAAAAGTTTTTTTTTGTGTATTTGCGAATAATAAAGCTCACTGGGAGATTGGAACAATAGACGGAGAAATTGGTAACCTGATTTACATGGTTCAGAGACCGAAGTTTATACACAAATGTCATGTAAACCAAATTAGAAAACGGTATGAAAGCTTAGTCGACAGGGATCCCGTAGAAGACACTATGGACGTCGTCTTTGACACGTTTGAGGTTCCAATACTGCAATCAGTACCAGATCTCAGAAGGCCCAAAAGAAAAAGGAAATTTACAGAACCTTTAGAAATTAACCCGATAAGAAAAAGATATTGAACATCTTTCATTTCATACGATGCCTACAGAAAAAGAGTAAAAAAATCCATCTCCTCACTTATGAACTTTGAATTACCAGAAAAGCACAATACGCATTGGATTATTGGAAATTATTAATATTATAATTTACCATTAAACTTATCAATTTTTTTTATTATTTAAGAATAATGAATAGACCTTAATAAAAAGGGACTGTTAACAAAAATGTTTGTCGTAAAGCTAAAAAAAATTGTGAACGTACTTCCTGTATATAGCTTTTTTAAAGTAGTTGTTTCGGATTTTTTTGTGAAAAAGGGTGTATCTAGTTGAATAAAAAGTATTGTGTGGTAATTATGAAAAAAAGACTCCATACGGAGCCAAACTGAAAAGCGGGGTGTTGTGGTGTCTTTTGTCTGAAGAGTCTGTTGGACTCTTCCGTCTACTATAAGATTAATAGAAGAGAAGGCCTTGAATCTATTCGAGCCTTGAGGGAACATTCGAATAGATTGAACGCTGGGTCAACCGACTCACACTCACTAGTCGTGTAATACACTTCTGTTGTACTTACTGTTTAATATATGATATATCTGTAACACTTAATTTTTTTATTTCTTTAACCATTTACATGGTCACAGCAATAGTGTTTTGATCCCAGTTTGAGAAACACAGGTGTATGGTTTCAGCAGGATGGAATCAGTTCTCACACAACTAGAAGGTCAATGGATGTTTCCAGGACATTTGATCTCCTTTCACGTTGAAGTTGGATGGCCTGCACGCACGCTTAGCTCTCCCCATGTGATCAAATTATTTGGGGGCTACCTGAAAGGGAAGTCTGCAATTGACGAACTGAAGGCTGCTATACGCTAAACAATTACAGAAATAGCGCTGGAAATGACTCGTTGGATAACAAGAACAGTTCAGAAATCACCTATAACATTGTACCTAGAATAGAAGCCACCATTTTGAAAATATGGTTTACAAAAAGTAAATGAAAACAAAATGTATACGTTTACTTTATCGATTTTAAAACATTTCTCTAAATATAATTTATGCCTTTTTTTTTTTACGAACATTAAAATATGACAAGTTTTATAGATGCCACCCTGTATCTCTTTCTTTTCCTGTATTTCTCGCAATAGTTTTGGTATTTTTGTGCGTCGTTATAAATAACGTTTTGTCTTTCTCAAATGTTTTGTCTATCTCCAGCCTTCCAGTCTAGCAGTATATCCTGCAACACTTCGTTTGAAATACTTTCCTTAAAAATGCTATGATTTTTGCGGCACATGTACACGTTTCTTTTTTTTATCGGTAGATGTTCATCTGAAGATGAAGATGACATAAAATAATTAAGTTGAGAAAGATTTGTTGCCATTTTTGTCTACAGTGAAACGGACAAAGTGGAATGTTTGTTACTAACATTATTTTCAATTAAAAAATATAAAAACAGGCTTAGTTGACGATTATATAAGAAGAGATATGCAAAAAACAAAACAATATTGCATTTTTATTAAATAAGTATTTGTTATTTTAATCATTAAATTGTTTATAATATAGTGGGAGTAATTTGTATGTTAAATAATAAAACTTATAATTTTTCCCAAGAAGTTAATGAAAATATATTGTACTAAGCTACGCACCCTAGTAAAATCAACTGTTCTTTGTGCTCCCCCCCTTACTCGTTGGCACCTCTCCACAAAATTTTGTTTCGATCATCCTGATGTTAAATATAAGTTTCTTCTTTGTTTCCATTCTCTCCAAAACCTCGCTTTTTTTCTCACATGTTCAGTCCATGGTATCCTTAGTATCCTTCTGTAGAACCACATTTCTGTTGTTTCGAGTCTCTTCCTCATCTTTGACAGATATCACGTAACAGTTCAGCACTCTTTTCTGTGTTTCCAACGAAACTTTTCTGTCTTGTAATATTCCACTTAGCCTTTTGGAATGCGTCTTTGGCCAGAACACGGTTTGGGAGAAATAACAAAAAGACAAAACTTATTAAGAGCTACAAAGGACAGGAGGATGTAGAAGGGGCATGGACACCTTCACCCTAAATGGACACGACACATAAGAAGAAAAAGAAGAAGATGATGTTGATGATGAGGATGATGTTGATGGAAAAACAAGAAGGTAGAGCTTTTCTTTTCCCCAGGGTAGTGGATACTTTTTTAGCAGTGTCATTTGTTTTTCAGATATTATGCTTCTTCCATCTTTTTTTGTGTGGACCCTAATAAGGTTACATGGGCCACCCGAGTCCATATGGACATCAATTAATAATTGCTCCTTTAAACTGACACTGAAATCATTCTATCAGCAACGATCTTCTATGATATAAAAAATAACAAATTCACAGTTCAATAATAAACTACGATCGAAAAATCAACGAAACTGATCAAGTTCGTCTCATTATAGATTTTTGAAACGCTAAAGATATTTGAATGATAGCATTTGTTTTGTACAAAAAAAATTCTTTTATGATCGATAGCATTCTTAGAGACAGGATGTCATAAAAGAATTTATTTTTTTATTTAACAAACATCGGATTTAGTTCCTTCAGTATGATTTACAAAGGGACATTTATGATTTACAAGACACTATTTTCTATCAGACCACCTGAAATATACTTGCATTCATTTCAGGAACAAAAACCTAACGAAACGATACCGTCAAAAGCATTCAGCAAATACAACGGCTTCTCTTTTTCGTTCTTCCTTTTATGAAACAGTAAAAACTGGATATATTTGGATAAGATTAAAAAGTAATATCCGTAAATAAAGAACGTAAAAACGAAAAGAAAAAACTGATTCTGTGCAAAAAAAAAAAAAAAAAAAAAAATGCAAAAACGGATATCCGGTATATTTATAAAGAATGATCGTTATTTTTCTTATATTCTCGTCTGCATTAAAAGGACAAGCTTCCGCCAGTTTAGTAATGTGAGCAGTTGGAAACATTGCAAAGCTTCCATTTTGAGAATATCGATTTACCTTTCATTTTTTTTTTTTTTTTGAAAATCGCCTTTAGGTTTATTTTTGTTCTTGTCAATGGAACTCTTTTATACAATGAAAACAATAAAAGAATTCCAGCCGTTGAGGAAAATACAGACGTCTGCTTCTCTCTCTCTCTCTCTCTCTCTCCTCTCTTCTCTTCTCTCTTCTCTCTTCTCTCCTTGTCTTTCTCAGTTACGAGCAAAATAAATGGTAATCATTAAAACGGCAAAACGACGTAGGGTTAATCTAAACATTTGGTCCTTAGTTTAATCTGGTTGTTAGTTCCATAACTTTATTCAAATATCTTTTGAGATGTATTGTTTATAATGGCGCATTCAATCTCCTCAAAGATGAAGCAGTGACTTGAAGCAACAGAAATGTGGTTCTACAGAAATATCTGGGGTTACCTTGGGCCGAACATTTGAGCCACGACGAGGTTTTGGAGAGAATAAAAATAAAAAGGAAGATAGAGTTGAAATTTCTGGGGCACGTAATGAGGAAGGAGATCTTGGAAAGTCTGAAACTCACAGGGCAGATTGAAGGAAAGATGGACAGAGGAAAGAAGCGCCTAACAAATACTTGAGCAAATGGATGGCAGAACAGTGTTTGAGAGAAATAGCAAAAAGATAAAACATATTAAGAGCTACAAGGGACAGGAAGATGTGGAGGACCATGATCGCCTACGTCCTGAAGGGACGCGGCACATAAAAGAAGAAGAAGCGCAAGAATTCCATAGCTCTTTGAAGGAAATCTTCAAACCCAATCATAAAACTCCTTGTTGTCACGAACGGGATAACTTGTTTTACGATGACGCGTTATTCTTCCACAAAATGGCGACATCTTCTTGGGCAAGCAAAGTTTATGTGGATATTTGTTTTGGCGATTGCCAACCTCGAGGTGATGCAATGGTTAGCAAGCTTGTTTTGCTAGAACATTTACGACTGAGTAGTGAGTTCGATCCTCACTGGGTGCCCCATACTATCGGCCTTGTGCCACATCTTAGCTACGCTTGGAAAATCTCTATATTTGGGCACCTTGAGGTGGTGTAATGATTAGCAAGCTTGCCTCGCTAGAACAATTACGACTGAGTAGTAGTTCGATACTCAATGGGTGCTCCATATTTTCAGCCTTGTGCCACATCTAAGTAGAGCTTAGAAAATCATTTGGGCACATCGACATGGTGTAATGGCTAGCAAGCTTGTCCCACTAAAACAATTACGACTGAGTAGTGAATTCGATCCTCACTGGTTGCCCCTTATTTCGGCCTTGTGCCACATCTAAGCTACGCTTGGAAAATCACTGGGCACCTTTAGGTGGTGTAATGATTAGCAAGTTTGTCTTGCTAAAACAATTACAACTGATTAGTGAGTTCGATCCTGACTTGGTGCTCCTTACTTTCGGCCTTGTGCCACATCTGAGCTACGCTTGGAAAATCACTATTTGTTTTGGTGATATGATAATTCATGCATACTTACTCTTTAGTACCAATTACAAGTGTCAGCACAATTACATTTCTCTTTTCGCTCTCAGCTGAAAGTTTATGTAGTACAGCAGGCATATTATTTTTTCAAGTATTCTCAGCGGCAAGGTTATTTTAGTCAAGAAATCAAATGTTTCCCATATAAGTTCATACTTCGTATAGAAGCATAAGGAGTCATCTTTGGTTAAACGCAATGGTGTATTGTTCCTCCATGACAATGCCAGGTCTCATGTGACGCGGGTGATCAGGGATACCATACGGTGACTTGTTTGGGAGATACTGTGCCATCCACCTTACACCTTGCGCGAACAGATTACCACCTTTTTCGTTCCCCTAACAACCATATTCGTAGGAAATCTTTCATAAGCATGCATCTCCCATTTTTTTATTTTTTATTTTATTTTATTTTTAAATATTATTTAAGGAAAATTTTTGACAATGTCCGCAAAGAATAGCTATTTCATTTCTTTGATTCAGTAAATTTTTATTTTTTATAACTTAGTAATATATAGTTTCTCATGTATGCACAAAGGACATGGGTCATTTTATGACCTACATGTTCTAGCTTTCTTTATTAATTTCCATTTTACTGTAGGTGTTTTATTGGTTTCCTTTAAGTGCCAGAAATATTTCGATAGGGACGTCTGATTTCGGTATTTATTTATCCTAAATGAAGTTTGATGTTGTTTGAACCTCTTTTTGAACTCATGGCTTGTGCAACCTATATAGATTTTTATGTTTTCGGGATTCTCAATAGATAAGATATTCCATTGGTATACTAATGATTCCGTGTGATATTTATTTTGTAGAGGACAGTTATGAGAATTTCTACAGTAATATAATTTTTGTTGATATTCATCTCTTTTTATTTTTATATTGTTTAAATTTCTTTGATTTTGGTCTAAGTGTTTATTCAAGATATTAGCATTATGTTTCGCAATAATATTTTCTAAGTTTTCAGTACAGCTATAACTTAATTTTAGTGTATTTTTATTGAAAATAGTAATAAGTTTACTATCTTTAAGGAAAGTGCTTCACGATTAATGCAAGGAATTTTTGTCCTAATTTATTCTGTACCATTTTGTTGTATGGGGGTGTATACCAAATTATTTTTTTACTTCTGTTTTTACTATGTTTTCCATTTTCCTTTTCTATATAAGTTAGTTTTGGGCTTTTGTAGCCACTAGCTTTTAGAACTTTATTATAGAAATTAATATGTTCATAGAAAATTTTCTCATTCGCTGAATTTGTACTTATTCTTTTTTCTATAGATAAACGCATATATTAATTACAGATGGAAGATGGTTAGATTTAGGGTGTATATATAAAGGATTAGTATTGGGTTTTTGACAAGGCATGTATACATTTGTCATTAAATCTAATGTTATATCAAGGAAGTTAACTTTTTTAATTTAGTGCTTACCGTAATTTTTAAGTTGAGGCATTGAAATTCTTTGTGTAATATCTTTCTAATTTTATCTATTTTAAAGTTAATATTTTTGCTCTGTAAATTTACATTGAGCACTGTTTTGTAAATATAAAAATATGAATAAGAACACCGGATTATATATTTTACTGTGCTTTTCTTTTTGTTATAATTTATATATATATATATATATATATATATATATATATATATATATATATTATAATTATTTAAAAAAAATATGATTCCATCGCGACACAGAAATGAGTTTGAGTCCAAACTGAAACTCAAGTGCCAAAGTTTAATTTCAATATTAAACCCTAACCTCAGAGGACAGTTTCATAATTTAAAGCTCTACTTTTGAATCGAGCACTTTTTTTTTTAAAAACAAAAAATATTAAAAAACTTTGGATCGTCAATCTAATTTTTTTCCTATTACATCAATGCGTACTCACACATTATATTTGTTAGATATTCTGTTGTATAATAGATATTAGTTGCTTTGTATAAAATAATGTTGTTTTAAACACATAGTGAAGACGTTTTGTTTTATTTTCTTTTCAAGTTTATACGTGAAAACACCAAGATAGATGCGACAACGTTAAAATTATACGTGCAATGAACAGGTTAAAACTAAATAATTTTGTTATCAAGTCTAACTAAGAACCAGGCAATGTCAGGTCTCATGTGACGCGGGTAATCAGGGATACCATACAGTGACTTGTTTGGGAGATACTGTGCCACCCACCTTACACCTTGCGCGAACAGATTACCACCTTTTTCGTTCCCCTAACAACCATATTCGTAGGAAATCTTTCATAAGTATGTATATTACCATCTCCCATTTTTTATTTTTTATTTTATTTTATTTTTAAACATTATTTAAGGAAAGTTTTTGACAATGTCCGCAAATAATAGCTATTTCATTTCTTTGATTCAGTAAATTTTTATTTTTTATAAACTTAGTAATAAATAGTTTCTCATGTATGCACAAAGAACATGGGTCATTTTATGACCTACATATTCTAGCTTTCCATATTAATTTCCATTTTAAATGTTAAAGAACTTTGGATCATCAATCTTTTTTCCTATTACATCAATGCGTACTCACACATTATATTTGTTAGATATTCTGTTGTATAATAGATATTAATTGCTTTGTATAAAATAATGTTGTTTTAAACACATAGTGAAGACGTTTTGTTTTATTTTCTTTTCAAGTTTATACGTGAAAACACCAAGATAGATGCGACAACGTTAAAATTATACGTGCAATGAACAGGTTAAAACTAAATAATTTTGTTATCAAGTCTAACTAAGAACCAGGCAAAAAAAAAAAAAAAAATCGAAACAAAATCACAAAAAAACAAAAAAAAAGACCATGTGTCAAAAGGAAATTTTCCTCTTGACCCCCCCCGTGACTGTACAATACATTGATAATTAATTATTTTATTAAGAAGCTATTCTTAGCATTTTCATAAAACATATGAAAGTGCATTTATACATTATTCTCAAGACGTGACAACAAAAATGTTAAACTATTTATTTAGTTTACAACATTTACATTGTTTGGACTGTTGTTCTCATCGTTTTTGTCATGTTCACAACGCTTCGGCCGTTGTACGCTCCGGTCTTCTTTGGGAGATTGGAATTTCGAATTGAAAACTTATTACATCCACCGGGATAAATGGCTTTAGTTATTTAGTCAACTATTTATTTACAAGATTATGAAAGAAAGATATGACAACAGTAAGAATATTTTTACGAGAGGATAGAATTTAATTTGTGAACAATAACGATAAATTATTTATAAGATTATTAAAATTAGTTCTTATCGTTCGGTCTGTTCAAAATAATAAAATTTTTGAGGAGAGACCATAAAGTAATAGCGGTGTCTTTAGAAAAACGTCATTTTGACAAAACGTTTTTTTCTGGCTCTATGTTAAACTTTGCCAATTATATTTAACTTTATGTAAAAAAAATTAAGAGAGCTACAGATAAAATCATTTCGCTGTGTTCCACGAGTGACATCTTAAATTAACTATTTCTTAAAAGTAGAGACATTATTTCGAGATATTACTGTAGTTCAAACATAGTTAAATAATCAACAAATTTTCTTCACCCAACGCAATAATATATATATATATATATATATATATATATATATATATAACAATAAATAATCTATATAATCTATCTATATATATATATATATATATATATATATATATATATATTTATTATAACAATAAATAATCTATATAATCTATATATA